CTCGTACCCCCAGGGGAGCATGCCCAGGCACCCAGGGTGCTCAGCAGAGGGCAAGGTGGGGCTCCCAAGGCGGGGTACAGTGGCTGCTCCCTAATGTGCTGGACGAGGGAAGGGCAGCCGTGGGCCAGGGCTGAGGGGCCGTGTCTCCCGGCAGGACAAAGTGCGGAGGGTCGAAGATTTCAGGTAGAAATTGGAGCTATGCAGGGATTGGGGTGAAGTACGCCTTTTCCCTTTTTCTTAACTCTACAGTGAAGGGGCCCCCTGTCTAGAAAATTGAAACCCCAGGAGCTGGGGGCTTCCCTGATGGAGCAGGGGTTAAAGTCTCAGCACTATCAAGGAACCACTAGCGCCAGCCACTGCAGCATGAGTTTGAGTCCAGCCCCGGCCAGGGAGTGGCCCACGGGGCTCAGCAGACCCCCGTTTCCCACTGCTCCCCTCAGCAGTGTGTTTCAGTGGATCTGCCTATTCTTCTCCCCCTCTATCTCTGGAGAGTCCACTCACTGCCCCCCCACCTCTGGTCAGCACCCCAGATCTTGTAGCCATAAATAAATAAACCTTAAATAAAAATAAGTCTCTTTAAAGAAGAAGAGGAAGAAGAAGAAGCAGCAGCCCCAGGAGCTATGGGAAAATTTGACTATGCCAACGTTAAAAACTCCTGCATGGGCAACAGCTTCACAGGCAAAGTCAAAGGAAATAATGAGCGGGGATTTGCAACCCCTTCCACAGAGGGCTCATTTCCCTAGGAGACAGACAGCTCTCCAGATGATCAAGGAAAACAGCTCTCCAGATGATCAGGGACAATGAGAAAGTGGGCAGCTCAGAGAAGAGGAAATAAAAATAGATCGTAAGTGCAAAAGGATGCACAGCCTCTTTCATAAGAGAAATGCAACTTGAACCACACTGAGAAGACACTTGAGTCTACCAGACTGGCAAATGTGGACGAGCAGGGAACCTCTTCTGTGGGGACGGTTTGGGGAAACAGATGGGCGCCTGTGGCGAGGGGCCGGGCCAGTCGGCGGCGGCCCACACTGGCGTCCGGCGCTCCGACAGGCGCGCGTCGCGGCTCAGCGGGTCGCCAGCGGCAGGCCGACACCCGGGAATCCCCCGGGGGGGGGGGGTCCGCTCTTCTCCCGGGCCGGGGGAGCGTCTCCCACCCACACTTTGCCAAGAAAAGCGGGGGCGGAAGAATACGTGGAAACGGCTACCTGTGAGCAGCGTGACCCCCAGGAGGGGCCGCTCTTGGCTGTGCAGTGCGGGCGGGCCTGCCCTTGCTTACGCGCACGCACAGCCTCCGGCTTGCTACATGTCTAGAAAAATAAGAAAGTGGACACACTGGTTGAAGGAGCTGGATGATGCCGGGGGTCTTTTTACAGCGGGTACCTGTGGGTGTTATATATATATATATATTATATATATAAAACAGTTTATTTTTACATATTTTTGTGCCTTTTTTCATCTCAGTTGCCATCCCCGGGGGCTTCCCATCACCAGATCACCCTGTGCCATCAGCACAGTCCCGTGCACTCCCTCCCCCCGTTGTCTCTGATCCCACTCCGCGCTCCTCCCCCACCAAATGTCTCTGGTCTATAGCTGTTCATCATTATCATTATTTTCTCGCCTGGCCCGTTATATTCCTGCTGTGAGAATAGCTGGCTTGTCTCACTAAGCACGGTCCCTTCCAGCTCCAGCCATGTTGCTGCAAAAGGCGAGTGTTTACTTTTGGTGGCTGAGTAATATGCCATCGTGTCTATGCACCACCTTTTAACCCAGGCATCCACTTCGGGCATCTGGGCTGCTTCCATGTCTTTCCAACTGTAAATAAAGCAGCAATAAACATGGGGGTGCAGGTATCGTTTCAGTCAGGGTTTTTGTGTCTTTTGGGCAGATCCCTAGGAGTGGGGTTGCTGTGTCGTAGGGAAGCTCCGTGTGCAGCAGTTTGAGGAACCCCCAGTCTTGCACAGAGGTTGTAGTGCCTGTGCTTTAAACATAGTCATAAGCTAGAAAGGCGCAGGGGCGTTCAGGTATCCCCCTGACGTGGGAACAAGGCGGGGGGCTCCCGTCCCCAGCAGGGAGACGCGCACGGCCCAGGCCCCAGGTGCCAAGACGCGCAAAGGGGCCGCTCTGTGAGACAGCTGGGGGAGCCCTCGAAACGCGCCTCTTCTCTTGCGCGTGGCAGAGAAAGACGTTTCCTCCGGCTGTCGACAGCCACTTCGCCGAAGCTCACGGCGCCCCAGGACCCGACCCGTCCTCACAAGAGAGCATCACAGAACCGAACCGAGAAGGTGAGGGCTGGAAGTTCTGCTTGAGCCAGCCCAGCTCTCCTCACACATGCAGGGCAGACGCCAGGACCGCGGCGGTGCCACCGCGTAGACGTGATCAACCGTGAACGACACGCGGCTTCCAGACCGGGGGGCGGGTGGACACCCAGGCACCTCTTAATTTTATTTCTGAGCAGTTAGAAGCAGCTAGAAGAAACCAGAAATTTAAAAGCACCCATGGCCTCACACCCCCACAAACTGTCTTACCTAATTCCCTTGTCCTCTGTCTGTGAGCATCGACAGCATAATAATGAGGGTTACTGGCATCTAGATACCGTTCCGTGTTCTGCCTTTTCCACTTACTCCTTTTTAAAGCAGTTATCATACACAGTTCTGGAAGACCGCACAGCACTCCAACCTCTTTTTTGGCTTCCGCTGAGACAGCAAGCGCTTATGTGGCACCTTTATGAGACGTAGCCTGGCACTGTGGGTCAGCCCTTCCCTCCACCACACAAGGCGCCCCGCGAGCCACCGACACCTCCGATTCCACGCGGGAGGCCTCCCTCTCCCAACGGTGCCCTGACCACCCCCCAGACCCAGGGTGTGGGCCTCTTGTTCCCTGCATGGTGGCAGGGAGCTGGCGTGGAGACCAGGCCAGCGGGCAGAGGGCAGGGACCGTGGGGCTGTGAGGTCAGAGCAAAGTGACCACGCGGGAAAAGGCCTCACGCCCAGCAGGCTGGCTGGACCGGGCAAAGGGGAGGACGGGGGTAGAGCGTGCCGGCTTACCCGGCTCTTCTCGCTCACCTCGCTCACCGGCCCACCAGCCACACTAGGATCAGCCCCCCTCCAAACTCCGCTGTCACTTTCTGGATTTCTCTTTGCACCACGCCATCACCTGGGCTTCCTCCAAAAGCACCCAGAAACATCGGTGCACACTGACCCTGGGCTGAGGTGCAGCCTTGGCGAAGGCAGGCAAAGTCAGGGAAGTCGCCAGGGCTCTCGGGGAACACATGCGCCACGCGCACCCCCCCCCCCCCCCCGCGGCTTGGTGGCAGGCAGAGGGATGCAGGAGGAGCAGAGTCAGAGGAGGGCGGGGGCGGGGCGTGTCCTTCTGGACAAAAAAGGAGGGATGAGTGAGAGGAAGGGGCGCACCCTGGGCAGGCTGGAAGGGCAGGTGGCCAAATGCCAGCTGCTGGACTTAAAAAGACAGTCTCCGTTCACTTATTCACGGGAAGACGCTTCCTTTGCTGAAGTGCCGAGGGAGGCAACTCCGCGCTGGACAGTCACCTGGCTGTGTTAAGAAAACACTGGGCAATCTGGAAGCACACGTAAGGCACGCGGGCGCGCCCTCAGGGAGGAGCGGGCTCCCTGCCAACTCTGCTCGAGAGGCGAGGCGCGTCAGCCTTGCCCACAGGCCCCGGGCGGGGCCCAGCAGGGGGTGCCAGGGCCGCGCCCACACCACTCTCCCAAACCGACAGCAGCTTTTCTGGGGTCACAGCTGCCCCATCGCAACTCCGAGGAAGCAGCATGAAACAGCCCCACCGCCAGCGGCAGCTCCCCGCAGCCAGACAACCAAACCACAGACACCCGGCAGCGGCAGGCGCCCCAGTCCCGCGCGCTGCTGCGGGAGACGCTTGCCCAGGGACAGCGGCCCACCTGCCCGAGGCCCCGGCCCCGCCTCCCCACGCAGGCGTCAGTGCCTCGAAGCCGAGCTGCCCTGAAGATGCCAACAGGGAACACCTGACAACGCGGCTCTTGGCAACAGCGACGGAGATCCCTTGGCTTGGTCAGAGCGGGGCCCTGCCGCTTCTCAGCCGGCGGGCGGAGGCTGCGCGGACGCCCATTGTGCCCTGCTCACCGAGGGCCGCGCTGAGGGGCCTGCCCACGGCAACAAAGCGTGTTTTGTTCCGTGCGCTGGGCCAGAAGAGGCACCGAGCCAGCTCTTTGCCCCGTGCCTTAGTTTAAGTGGAATGCGGATGCCAGAAAGGTCCTCTCTTGGCCAGGGAGCCTGGGGGACACAATGGCCGAGCGTTGTCCGTGCGCCCCGGGCAGGGGCACAGCACAGCCGAGCCCGCCCTGGCGTGACCTGGGGGCGTGGGGGGGCCAGTGAGCGGGGCCTCGGAGAGCGAGCCCCTGCGCCGCCGCCGGCATCGCCCCCGGGTGTCAGCGCGTCCGTGACCCGAATCCCACCCCCTTGGCAGCCCCGGCGCAGCACCCCTGTCGGCAGCTGGGAGGGAGGCAGACCCCCACAGGCGCTCGGCCGCGTCGCCTTTACGCTCGGGGGCCTCGGAATCAGGGCCCGCCGCTTACGGAGCTGCCCGGTAATTCACGTTTTCCGGGGATTTTTCCTTAACTTTTGCTGAGAGAGAAGGATGTTTCATGGTGTGGCCAACGATTCTCTCTCCCTCATTTCACATGAGGGCCAGAATGTCTCCCTGCCCCCGGGGCCCTCCTGAGAGTGCAACAGAGCGTTAACTAAAGGGCGACACCGCTCGCCACGATTCTGGATCTCCCCAGGAATGCCCTCACCCTGCACCATGGCCGGGGCCGGGAGGGGAGATCCGGGCCCCAGAGGTCTGATTCTGGCTCCTCCCTGGCAGGCGCCCGACGCCAGACCTGACAAGGTGTGGCCATGGTGACCGGTGACCCTGCGTGCCAGGGAAGCCGCGGACACCACGCGAGGCCCTCTGAACCCCGGCCGGCGTGACGCCGAGGTGGCCCACGGCGCCCTGGGGCACTCACTCTTTGGTCAGAAGAGGACAGGACTTGAGCAGGAAGCGCGAGAGCCCCGAGTCCTGGAAGTAGAGGTCGGGCGGGGCCGTGGGGCTCTTCAGGTTCAAGCACCGGACGATCACGTAGAGGGCGGCGGCCACCGCTGCCAGCTTCACCCCGTCGAACACGGCCGGCAGCTCGGGGGTCTCCAGCATGGCGTTCATCTTGATCTGGGGAGCAGAGGCACAGGTCAGGGTGGGGAGCCCAGTGAGAAGGCGCGGGACCGCGGAGACGTCACCGTCAGGCTGTGCCCAGGCGGCGCCTGACAGCGCCCTTGGGGCTGACAGGCCTCCAGCACACCGTCCTGACACCGGGGCCGGTTAGCGGGCGCACCGTTTGCTTCCTTTCGGCCGGGCGGCCATTTCTAAAGACAAGTCCACTGGAAAGCGCTGACAGTGCCCAGTCTGAAATGGCAGGTGTGGGCGAGGCCCGCTCGCCAGCCCCGCGAGCAGCGGACACGAGTCTGTACCAGCTGCAGCCGGTGTCCCCAGGCGCGACTGTGCTATTTGCACAAGGCGAGGCGATAAAGCAGCCTGACCGCTGGACCATCTGTTCCCGGCGGCCACCCCCAGGGGCTGGGCACGAGGGGAGGCGCCTTGTGGCGGGGCTGTCAGGCAGTGTGGCATGGGGCGTGGCCAGCCCCACCCTCGTCCCTGCTGAGGCACCCGGGGCGTCCACGGTGGGGCTAGAAGCGGACCACTGTCAACCTCTAGGCCAAGTAGGAAATGAAACGCGTGGCTCTCTCCCGGCCTCGCCGGAACACAGCCCACACACCCACCCCTCCAGACACACAGCCAAACCCAATGGCAACAAAAATCCAGCCCTTTCCTTGCAGCGAGGCAGAACATCAACCGTTACCTTAAAAATCAGGAGACCGCAGCAAACAAAAAGGAGAGAGCGGCAGTTCCCAGCCGAGGTAGCTATGGCAACAGCCTCCAGGGAGGGCTTCGGGCCCGCTGGACTCGGCCGCACGAGCGCGCCAGGGCCAAGGAGCAGCAAAAGGCAGGACAAGAACACCCTGCGGAGCCTGTGCCGTGCATGGACCGGGCTGGCCGGGCCGGAGAGGGCTCAGGAGCCCTGGGCTGCCATCCGGGCGGCACGGCCAACGGGGCCAGGTGCAGGGCGACGGCCTGCGGCGGCCCGCGCGTGAGGAAGGGCGAGGGCCCACGCTCCCGACCAGCCTGCCAGCATTTAAAACAAACTCAAGGGGCGTGTCCAGGGTCAGCGTGTTCTTCCAGCTGCACCCACCTTTGAACTTCTTTACGAGCTCACAGTTCCCTTAAAACCAAACTTCGGGGGCCAAGTCCCCTCACTCCTGGGCCTTATCCCCTCGTGCTGGCCTCATAGCAAGGTTTCTTCCCTGGGGACCCATGGGGGTCTGGGCTCCAGGACCCCCTGAGATGTGAGACCAAAGTCTGTGTGTACATGAGCTTTCTGGGGGCATGGGGTGGGGGTTCACCAGACTCCAAGAGTTCTGGGCCCCGAGAAGGCTGGTTTGGTCCGGGGCTCTCGACCCTCTCCTGAGCCAGCCCTCTGCCTGTGCCAGCCAAGGGCCCAGGTGAGCGGCCCTCCACGGGGCTGTGAGGACTCGCAAGTGAGGCGCCGAACACACGCCCTGGCAGGAATGCCAGGGCTTCTCTGACAAGGTGCCGGCGACCCGGAGCGGAGGCCCCAGTGGCCTGGCTCTGCCCAGTTTCCTGGCTGGTTCAGTGAGATTTGCCGCGCTGGGAAGACTAAGTCCGCCCCCCCGCGCCCACCCTCTGCTCACGGCACCGGGCGAGGGCCACACGCACCCGTCTCTCTGTTCCTCAGCTGCGGAATGACGTCCCTCGGCGAGGCAGCTGTGCAGCGGGCCGGGCAGCTCGGGTCTCTCACTCAGGTTAACCTGAAAGCTGAAAGAGCACACGACTTAGAGGACGAGCAGGAGCCCCTCGCACCCCCGGGGAAGGCAGGCTCTGGCACTCAGCCACCCGAGCGCCACCTCTCGGTGGCGGAACAAGCCGGTGGGGGGCTGGGTTGGGGGGCTGCAGCCAGGGGCCGGGCCGGCGCGGGTCTCCAGTCATGTCCTGGCTGTGCTCAGAGCGTGGCCAAAGCAGGCAGCTGACCCTTGACTTTGATGCAGTCTTGAGAAGCCCCAGACCGGCGTGTCCCGCCCCTCCCCCCCCCCACCAACCTGCAGTGACAGGAACAAGAGGACGCCAAAGGAAGGGGCCACGCGCCACTCCGGAAACAGAACAGGACCGAACGCCACAGGGCGCAGCCTGGCTGTGGGGGCACCTGGAGCTACAGGGGCTCACCCCAAGATAGGGACCAGTGCCAGACCCCTGAGCCCAAGATCTAAAGCAGCAGAAGAAGGAAAACAGATAACGCCGGGGTGGGGCCAGCCTGTCTGGCCGCCTGGGGCTCCGCCCAGGGCGCCCTGGACAGCGTCCCCTTGCCCGGCACTGTCATGACGTCGATGAGGAAAACCAGCTTGGCCTGCGTCAGGCAACCCCGTCATCCGAGACTGGCCCACGCTTGGGTGTTGCGTGGGCAGTTTGCAGGAGCCGTGGCTGGTGAGGGCTGCTGTCCACGCACTCGGGCCACACACCCCGAGGCAAGGCTACTGAGACAGCATTTTACTGATGTGGCGTCGGCTGAGCGCATGACACAGGCCTCAGAGTCTGCACTGCAATTCCACACTCACCCCCAAGCAGGTATGTTCACCTGCTGGTCACCTGCCTGACCGGTGAGGAGGCTCAAGCGCAGAGGCGAGGGACTTGCCCCGGGTCACAGAGCCAGCAGGCCCAGGGAGCAGGCCCTCCGCCGCCCCCACCCTCAGCTGCTTGAGGGAAGGGAATGTAGAGAGGAAGGAGCAGGCAGGCAAGAAAACAGGGTGCAGAAAACACAGAGGCAACCCTAGAAGCCACCGCAGGCGGGACTCCACAAAACAATCCACAGAGAAGACGAAAGCCGGGAAGGGGGTGGAAGGGGCCAGGGGAGGGACTGGCAAACCTGGGCAGTTCCGGACTGTCAGGCTTCTCCACCGCTGGAGCCGCCCCGCCCAGAAGCCTGTGCTGCTGAGGCGGGGCCACGGGGCAAAGTCAGGGCCACATCACGAGCCCGCAGGCTGGCCGGCCCGGCGGGGCAGGGAGCTGGGGGCAGCGCTGCCCTAGCAGGCCGGTCACAAATGCCGGCACTCCCTGCCAGCTTAGAAACACCACAGATTTCAGGATGCCCACGCTCCCAGCACTGCCTCGCAGCCAGCCCCCCCTCCCCGCCCACAAGTCCCGTGGAAAGCCTGAATGGTCCTGGGGGGCGCCCGCATACGCACGCCTTGGAGAAACCTGTGCAAGGCCTGTTCTGGTGTCCAGTGTCCGGGAGCCCACTGTCAGGACGCCTGGCAGCCAGCCCACAGGGAGCAGGGAGGCAGAGGGCAAGCCTGGGGACTGTCACTCACGGCTATTTACAGTGGCCCTCCCGCCCCCCACATGTGGGCGGGGGCTCGCTCCACAGGACCTGGGGCCGAATCCCACGGACAAGGGGGAAACGCGGCCACTTCTGTCCAGTTTCTTTTCCCGCGCGGCAGACACCTGGGAAAGTGCCCTGTGGAACACTGAGCACCCCGCCGCCCCGCGGGTGGCTGACAGCTGGCCGTGAACGACGGCTTCTCTGCCCCGGGCCCTCCCTGAATCTCGGGCTGCAGACAAGGCTGCAGACAAGGCTGCCAGGGCCGTGTGCCAGGAGGCGACTCCGGGAGCCAGGGGAAGAGGGCGCAGGGCAGCGGCGGACGCCCGGGCTCCCTGACCACGGCACGGGCCGCAGCGTCAGCAGGAGACGCTGCGTGTGGACGCCATAACGACCCCAAATACTTACTTTGGGAGTAAAAGCTTTCAGAGAGCAACTTAATTTCAAAGAAGAAATTAAGAAACCCGACAGGGGCCGCCCCGGGGCGCAGGGTTAACGCGCGGCACCATGACACTGTCGGCAGCCGCTGCAGCACGAGTCCATCCCCGCCAGGGAGTGACCCCAGGGCGCGGCAGACCCCGCCTGTCTCCCCGCGGCCCCCTCAGCAGAACTCTGTCTCTGGGGAGTCCTCTCACCCCCCACACTCTGGCCTGCGCCCCAGCTCTTGTATGCGTACTAAATAAATCTTAAAAAAGAAAGCCCGAGCAAGGAGAATGTCCAGGGCCGCACGCACAGCGGCCCTGTGCCGGCCGAGCCCGGAGCCCACCTGAGCTGTGTGGCCGCGTGTGGGCAGCGGGCGGTCAGGCATGAGGCTCCCGGCTGAGCCCACGCGTCCCGGTGTCGCCCAGCGGGCAGGGCAGGTCCTCGGGGCTTGTCTGCATGGGATTATTTTACAAGACGCTGCGAGACTTTATGTAAGGGGAGTGACATGTGAGTGACATGACAGGCGACGTCCTCCTACCACATTTTTTAATAGCAAGTGCAGTAGAGAATTAACTTTCTCAACCCCTGGAAATTGCCAAGGGTTTAAGACTGAATTCAGCTCAGTGCGGGCGACCCTAGGAGGGGTTTGGGGTCAAGGCCTGACCCGGGGTTTGCCCCTCAGAGCCCCCAGGGCATGGCGTACCACGTGTCCCGGGTCCCCGCTGGCCGTGGGCAGGTGTGCCCCGACCGTCTGGCACTGTGCCACGCCAGCGTGGAATTCAGTAGGAACCCCACTTTAACTGGGGGCGAAAAGGAGCTGATGTTAAGCCACACATACTTCAGGGACATGGGGCCAGAGACGGGGGGCTGCGTGGGACTTGGGGGCAGGGGGATCTGGGGCCGGGCCTCGGTGAGGACAGGGCTGAGGCGTGGAGGGGGTGCGGGGGTGCGCGCGTGCGCACGGCCAGAGGCAACTGGCGATTCCGATCAGAGCTCCGGTTCCTCTTCATCTCGCTGCACTGAACCTTCCGGTGCTTGTTCTCAGGTTCTCCCGGCCACACGATACTCTGAATCTGTCCTGGACATCACAGACTCCCTGTGTGATCGTGGGCGCCTCTCCTGTTAGTGGGCGGGGGCAGTACAGCTAGCGCGACCCCCCAGCAGTGCAGGTGGGGAAAGCCACACAGAGCAGGCCGGGGCGTGGGGGCCGAAGGAAGAAGCCCTCCCATCCCGTCCAGCCCCGGCGCTGGCCATTCGCCGGGCCTGGCCCGCCTGCCCTCACTCAGCTCCTTCGGTCCCCCCTGCCCCCACTCCCTGCTCCCACCACCTACTTTTGACCAGAAAACAAAAGGCGTCAGAACAGCCGCGAACACGATCGGGAAGGAAAGAGGGAAAGTGTGTGGACAAGGAAGCTGCCTCCGGCCGCACGCACAGCGGCCCTGCGCCGGCCGAGCCCGGAGCCCACCTGAGCTGTGTGACCGCGTGTGGGCAGCCGGGCCGGCCAGGCACGAGGCTCCCGGCTGAGCCCACGCGTCCCGTCTCGGCCGTTCCCAGAGCGGGACACCGGGGCGGGCGAGTCTCCGCACCAACTGAGGACCGAAGGGCTGGCGGGGAGGGGTCCGCGGTGCCAGCTGCTTCCCACTGCTCGCCCAGGCCCCCCTCAGGGTCAGCAGGGTCCCGTCCAGCTGGTGACCTTGAACAAGCCCCCGAACCTTTCTGGGCCCAGAGATCCGGAAGATTAGAAGTAATGTTGCCAGGTCTGTTGCGGCTGAGAATGCCTGAGCTCCTTGGGGCAGGGCGGCAGGTCTCAGGCTGTGAGGAGAGCACGGCCCCGCCTGCTGCCCTGTCCCGGCCGAGAGAACCTCAGATTCGCAGGAACTGGCCCCCGGGAGCTGGTGCGGCCTTCACGTCAGCCGGGTGGCGATTCGGCCTGTTTGCCGCTCGCTGCGTCCGAGGCTCCCCGCGCAGGCCGAGGGCGGCGCCTGGCGAGGCGGCTCGCTGGCCAGAGGGAACCGGCTACCGGGGAAGGAAGAGAAACCGAGCGGGATGCACACGCCAGCGGGTGGACTCGCGTCCCGGAGACCTGAGGAGGGCCCTGTTTGGAAAGACTCTCGATGCAGAGGCCGCCGGCTGGCCACGGACGCCCGTCCCAGACTGCTGTTCTCAGGAGGGTGACTGGGACACACAGAGGAGGCCACCTGGAGGGGCAGCGGGCTAGAGCCAGCCGTCCATGCCAGTGGGCGCCAGCACCCTCCCCGGGGCCTGGGGCGGCCGCCCTGCCACACCGGGACTTCAGCCTCCAGAACCACGAGAGAACAGGCCTCCCGCCACCCCGTCTTAGCGGCTGGAGAGACCCTCCCCTCCTCCTCTGACACAGGCCGGGGTCACCAGCCCGTCCTGGCCCTGCAGCGCCTGGCCCCAGGGCGCCAGGCCACACGCGGGTCTGGACACACTCTGCGCCCTGACCTCTGCCTCTGTGACTCAGGGGCCAGGCATGTTTTCCTGTCCGGTTAGTGTCACAAAGTGAGGGGCCCAGACACAGAGGTATTTGTGGGGGTGGGGGTGGGGATGGGGCGCTCAACCGCCCAAACCCCAAAGGACTCTACGAGCAAAGTCAGCTGCGACACAGGCCCTGTGGCAAACTCAGGCCAATGAAGCAACTCTGAAAGAGGGCTCTCTTCCCGGCCCAGTATGGCGGGGGAGGGGGCTTTGTTTAAGTTCAGGCCCTGGAGTGAGAGTCCAGGTCAGATTCTGGCCCCACCTGTTCCGGGGTGCCTTGGCCAAGTTTCCTAATCCTTCTGCTTGTGCAATGCAAACATGCACTGGCCTGGGGCCTGGGGGCTTCTGCAATGCAAGCACCCTCTGGCCTCGGGGCGTGGGGCTCCGCATGCCAACTCCACCACCTCCCCAGCCTCAGTGCCTCCTGCTGGGCACCCCTACCCCAGAGACCCACAGCCCCCAGTGACGCCGAGGCCCCCCAACAACACAACTAGGCCTCCTCGGCAGGTTGAAAACTACTCCC